GTCGTTTTTTCAAAATCCTTACCAATTATGTGCTAATGATGATGTGATTAGGCCAATTCTTGATGATCATTTTGATTGTGAAGATGGGTTTAGGGAAGAGGGGTTCAAATTTGATTCACAAGGAAATATTACACCAAGGTGTGTTTTATGATTGTTGTCATTGATGGGAAAAATCAGAAATGAGAAATAGTCCGTTAATTACGTTAATTTTACTCAATATTCTACGAGTGCACAAAAAATTGAATTTACATTCTTTCACAGGGAGAAGTTGGTCAATATGACTCGCTTGCTGAGTTGGATATTAATTTTCCTTTTTTTGTTATTTTGCTTTGTCCAAGTCGGCAGCTACATGTACAAAACAAAATAACAAAAAAAAAAAAAAATTAATATCCTACTCAGCAAGCCAGTCACATTAACCAACTCTCCCCGTGAAAGGACCTAAAGTCATATTTTTTTTATCCATGATGTTTAGTAAAATCAACTAATTAACAAATTATTTATCAAATCAGTGTCAGTTAAAGACTAAATTTCTATTTTTTTTCCTAATTGATGCAACTATAGGGGCTTTATCAAATGATTGGACTGATTTTTGGATTTTGCAAAATTGATATTTGCAGCAACAATGGTGGTTTTACAGAGAGAGCCGCATTCAAGCAAGATGATGAATGCTTGTCGTACATTCAAGACGACGAGGATTTGAAGGTGGCTGCCGCCGTGTTCAATGGTCTCACAAACTAAGGGAAATGTTTGGTGACCCATTTTTATACATAAGTTGGTCAAATATGTACATAAACATTGCAGGGATTTTTCACATTTTCCTTTCTGCACATAGGATTGACAGTGAATGTGATGGTGAATACTCTTCTTTGTATTTTCAATTTTTCTTGGTTCTTCAAACATGCACATTCAGATAGTTGTACACAGTAGAAGTAAACTTTTTATACGCTGGATCTAAAAATTTTAAATCTTGTGTTGCCTGAAGCAGTTAACAATCTTAACATATTTCGCGATTCAATATATAAGTCGATTTTTTTTTTTTTTCTCTATGAGCATCAGTAATGGATGCCTCGGCCGTAGTCAATAGCAATGACATGCTACGCGTAGCAAGCACGCCCTAAAAGTTACTTTCATGCAAAACATTGAAGGATTTAATATGATAAACCCTTCACTGGCAGCGTCCAGCAAAGCTGTCCTAAGACTTTCTCCAACTGAGCGAAATCTAAAATTTCCGGTAGAAATCACTCCAACCGAGTGGTAAAACGGATCACAAAATTCGTTTCGTCTTCTCTCCTCTGATAATCGCAAATATGCGTTTCAACTTTTTGTTTTGCTATTTAGTCCTCTTTCTTTTATAAATTGGCAAAATGTATAAAAAACTTTAATTTCTGTTTTATTTTTATATTTCATGAAAAATAGATAATTGATACTTAAAATATGAATATCATATTTTTTTTATATTTTTTTAGTGAACAGATTATGCAAATAGAGCTTCAAATATCGAATATCATGCAGATGTGTGCCAGTAATTAACACATCATCTATAAACATCAGTAATGTCAGATGTCGTGATTGGACTGAGTGAAATCATTGTTAATCGTCATGATTGGACCGAATGAAACCATGGGCATGTAACTTTTAGAAAATTCCAAGTTCCGTTGTCTTAAAGCCTACTTTAGGCCATATAAACTCCTTTTAAGCAAACACACCTCATTCTTCTTTGCTCTTATGTATTTTTTGGTTGGACGCATAAAAACCACTTCATCAGTAAACCCATGAAAGAAGATGTTATTAATGTCAATGTGATGTAGTTCCAGTTCTTTTAGTAGCCAAAGCTCACTGAAATCTGACCAAGACTAACTTAGCCACTAGAGAAAAACTCTCCATAAACTCAGTGTCCGTTTGCAAATACTCTTTTGCAACCAACCTTGCTTTGTACTTATCTAGTGTCATATCTGGATTCCTTTTTATCTTATAAACTCACTTAGAGCCTATAGCTCTCTTTCCAGGTGACAATATAGTTAGTATCCATGTTTGATTCACTTCTAGAGCATCCAATTCCTTCTGCATAGCCTCAACTCACTTTTTCATTCTTCAGTGCTTGCTCATAAACTAATGCAGGTGGTTGCCTCTTTCTAGTTCATTTGGTTGAATCTCCACAAGAATGTATGATATTTTCTTTCTCATAATCTTTGTGTATGATTGTATATAAAAATTTTCACTCAAAATTTAACTCAACCTCAACTCAACTTCGTTATCCTCAATATTATCAATATAATTAAATAATACCACTCAATCATTCTTACACATCACATCTACTTTATTTTACTATTGTCCACTCACATAATTTTAACTAATCATCACTTCATCATATTTCTTCTACTTTTATATCAAATCAACTTTAATTATTTCATTTTAAATATTATTTTAATATAAATTCAAAAATCCTCTAACAACTAACCATACCATCTTTTTTCTAAATTAACTCTGCTTAACCAAAAAAATCCACTTTGAGTGAAAATTTTTGTATCCAAACACGCCCTTTGTTTGCCTCATCACAATTACGACCATCCTCAATAGTGGGCAAAGATATTGACTTAGTTCCTTCAGGCACAAGAGAAAATGGAAACTCTTTTTCATGAAACACCACATCCCTAGATGATTACCTCATTTGCATTTGGATCATATACCCTTTAACCATCAACACCAGAAGCATATCCAATGAAAACACAAGGTATAGCTCGAGGCGATCAAATTTCTTTCTGTAAGGCTCATTCTTTTTTGCATAACATAAGTTGACAAAATTTTTGAACATATCATAATTAACATGATGGAGTTCCATGCAATACCTGATAAGGAGACTTCCATTTTAGGGGTTCAGTGTGCAAAAAGTTAATGATATGAACAACTGCCAATATAGTATAAAGTCATAAATCCTTATTTAACTTAGCCTAAAAAGATAAGTCTGTTGCAGCCTCCAGAATTAACATATGCTTTCTCTCCACAACTACATTATGCAGAGATGTGTAAGGACATGATTTTTGATGTAAAATCCTATGTTCCTTCAAAATCTCCTGCATTCCTTTACTCACAAATTATGTCCCATTGTCAAACCTCATTTGCTTCACATTCGATCCAAACTGGACTTTGACCATTTTCAAGAAGAATTTAGTGTGATCATAAGTTTCTGTTTTGTACTTCATAAGGAACACCCTAGTAACTCTAGAAAAATCATCCACTATAGTCAACATATAAACAATATTAGTAATGAATCTTCATGATAAGGTATCCAAATATCAATATAGATCAAATCAAACTTATTTTTTCTTTGAGTTTGCTCAATGGAAATGCCAATCTACATTGTTTTGCCTTGCGACAAGTATCACATACACCAAGCTGTTGACTGTTACATTTTTCTCTCACAAAACTTAAATAATGCAAACAAGATGTAGAACTATGTCCAAAACGTGTATGCATAGCTCTAAATTTTTATCAAGCTTCCTTCCTTGAGCTACACAATTTGCATGAGAAACAATTATTGGCTTAGTCGTAGAGATGCATATGAAGTTCAAAGTGATAGTAGGAGAAACAATTATATTTTGTTTTGTTTTGGGGCATAATTTTTTTTTTTTTTTTATTAAACTATTGGATAGAAGATTTTAAGTCATAATTCATTATTCTAATTCAACTCAACTATCTCATCATTATTATCATTGTAATTAAATAATAAAAATCAATTGTTAGTGTTACTACACATTTTGTAATAAAAATCAATATTCATCCACTCACACATTTTTAACTATCAAACATTTAGAATCATTGTTTTATTATTTTATACTACGTTAAACTAAAAATCAAATCTAAATTTATTGCCAATTATTATTATTATTATTATTATTATTATTATTATTATTATTATTATTATTATTATTATTATTATTATTATTATTATTATTATTATTTTAAATCTTAACTACTTTATCATCCATTTCCGAGGGCCAAAGGACACATTATTAAAAGAGAAGAAGTTTAAATTAAAAATATGATTTACAAAATATAACTTATGTAAGCCTTGGCCCTTGCACGACCACGGTTCAGCTTGGCCCCGCCGGCCCGTCCTGGCCTTGCCTTGAACTGGTTTGGAATAGGTTCGTGGTCAACGGGCCTTGAATAGGGCCCATGGTTTGACTGTGTCTCATGTGTATACATTTTTTTGAGGCGAAAGCGGCAATTCATTTTCCTTTTCTTTTTTTTTTTTTTTTGCATTTTTTTTTATTATTTTTAATTATTTCTGTAAATATTTTTAAAATTAAATCGGCCCAGCTCACCGGCCCATCAACCAGGGGTCCAGGCTGGAACCGACCCGATTCATGAACCGCCCGGTGCATATATTAGGGCCGGTTCAGGGCCCTCCGAACCTTAGCCCAGAACCGCGGTTCAAGCTCGGAACCGGATTTGGCCATGTCTACTTGGCACATGCACAAGCATTAGAGCAACTCCAATGGTTTATGGATTGCTCATTTTTATTGCCATCTGGCATAACTAATCTTATGTGGCATTCAAAATGTCTAGAAGTCTTTCTATATCTAGAAGTACTTCTAGACATCCTCTATTATATTTTTTATTATTTATTAAATATATATATCATCACCAACCAATTATAATGTAACACATGTCAAATTATACTAAAATTGACATTTACCATTGGAGACAAAATTTTGTAGCTCCCTTTTTCCATGTTATACATCTCCAAATGGACTATATACATTGGAGATGCTCTTAGGGGTTAAAATGTTGTATCAAAGAGTTTGTGGGGGCGAAAACATAACCAGTACAAAAGTATTCGCGGAGATAGTCTGCAAACCAATTTCTTCTTTTCCCTTTTCCGGTTTCACCAATTACAGCTGCGTCTCCAAGAATTCATCTGTTAACTGTGCGCATAAAACGGGTTTCATCGAAGCTCGTCAACAGATCTCTGGCAAGAACAGTACGCCTCTAACCATCCAATTTTAAGGTACAATCCCTGTTTCACCTTTCGCAGCATTCGTGTTTCTGTGACAATCGAGCTTAAATTTTGTTTATGGCTTTTGAATTTTGTGTCAAATTTCAATTGTTTAGGTCAGATTCTGCTGTGAATCGAGCCAAAGCTTAAACCCTTTTCCCGTCCCTTAATGTGTGTGTCTGTATATTATATATAGCATCATTTGTTGGTTTTAAGCTGAGAAATGGAGATGGGTAGCAGTAGCTTGCTGCCGAATTCGAATTTAGAGCCTAGAGCCGATATGGAATTCGATACTCACGAGGCAGCTTATGAATATTACAAAGAATACGCGAAATCCGTGGGATTTGGTACTGCCAAATTGAGCAGCCGCCGCTCGAGGGCTTCCAGAGAATTCATCGACGCCAAATTTTCTTGCATTAGGTATGGAAACAAACAGCAATCTGACGACGCCATTAATCCGAGGCCTTCCCCTAAAATCGGCTGTAAGGCCAGCATGCACGTCAAGCGAAAACCCGAGGGTAAATGGTACATCCACAGTTTTACGAGAGAACACAACCACGAGCTTTTACCGGCTCAGGCCCATTTCTTCAGAAGCCATAGGGTTTCTTCTGATTCTCTCCTCGGTGATGCCAGGATCAAGAAAAAGAAATCCGTGGGCCCAAGAAATTACGGTGCCTATCAGTTCTCGGGTTCTTGCTTGGAGAATGTGATCAGGAACCAGCATGATAGGGGCCGTTTTTTGAGTCTAGAGGAAGGTGGGGCCCAGCTCGTGCTAGAGTTCTGCTCCCAAATGCACGAGGAGAACCCGAAATTCTTTTACGCTTTGGATTTCAACGAGGAGCATCGGCTGAGGAACGTTTTCTGGGCCGATCCCAAAGGTGTCGAGGATTTTGCGTACTTTAACGATGTGGTCTCTTTCGACACGACTTATTTCTCTAGCAAGTTTAGAATTCCTTTGGTTCTCTTTATTGGGGTCAATCATCATATGCAGCCCACGCTGTTAGGATGTGGGCTAGTTGCGGACGATACTTTATATACATTAACATGGTTATTGCAATCTTGGAGTTTGGCAATGGGGGGACGAAACCCGAAAGTGCTGTTGACCGATCAAAGTGATTCCGTAAAATCCGCAATCCAATTGGTTCTTCCGGAAACTCGTCAATTTTACCATTTATGGCATGTTCTTGAAAATATACCTAAGCGCCTGCATTGCATTAGCGTCTGGCATGAGGCCTTCATGGAGAAACTTAACAAATGTATATACAGATCGTGGGACGAGCAGAAGTTTGAGAAAAGATGGTGGAAATTGGTCGAGAGGTTCAATCTTCAAGAAAACGAGTGGGTTCTAGCTCTGTATGCTGACCGGAAGCTTTGGGTACCCTCGTTTATGAAGGATGTGTGTTATGCTGGGTTGTGTGCAGCTTCAAGATCCGGAAGCTTGAACACTTTCTTCGACAGGTACATCAATGGGGAAACCTCACTGAAAGATTTTATTGGGAAATATAAAACGATCCTCGAAGACAGATATGAAGAGGAGGCCAAAGCAAATTTCGATGCTTGGCACGAGACGCCGGAGCTGAAATCGCCTTCACCGTTCGAGAAACAAATATTACTCGTTTACACTCACGGAATATTCAAGAAGTTTCAGATGGAGGTTCTTGGGGCAGCAGCTTGCCATCTGAAAAGAGAGAAGGAAGATGGCTCGACTGTATCGTACATAGTTAAAGATTTCGAGCAAAATCAAGAATTTATGGTGGAAATGGAGTGGGATGAATCGAAATCATCAGATATTTACTGTTCGTGCCGTTCGTTTCAGTACAAGGGCTATCTTTGCAGGCACAGCATCGTGGTCCTCCAAATGTCGGGCATTTTTAGCATACCGTTTAAATATATAATGCAAAGGTGGACAAATGCCGCCACTAGCAAAATCCCCATGAGCGAGAAGTTGGAAGAAGTTCAAGCCAAGGTGAGACGTTATAACGACCTTTGTAGACGGGCTATAATATTGGGTGAAGAGGGCTCGTTATCACAAGAAAGTTACAATACTGCAGTTGGTGCCATAAGTGAAGCTCTGAAACAGTGTGCTAATGTGAATAAGCCTTTAGAAAACGAGTCAAGATCCGAAATATCTGGGCCGATGACAACAATCCATGGTTCACCAGTGGTTGATCATAATGCGGTTATTGGATCTGAACAGCAGTGGCAAATGTGTACATACACAAATGAAACTCCTAAAAGAACGAGTTCTGGGAAGGAGCTAGCAATCAATGGTGGAATAACAAATAAAAAGGGAAAGGTTGGTATTTATTCACTTGTACTTCATATTTATACGATTTTGCAATGCGGATTCAAATTTAGTGGTCTTTTTTCCTACATGGATCAGCTGCCATTAGAGCCACAAACTGCTACTTTAGGGAGCCAAGGCATCTTTCAGCACATCGTATGCCTCATCACCCCTTTACTCTCTCTTTCTGTTTGTGTGTTTTAATAAATATTTCTGGATTTATATTAAATTAGAATATATATATAGATGGATTTACTCTCTTGCCAAAATTACGTTGTTTTGCATGTTATGTGAGCAGAAAGGAATATTACTGTCTAATTTATGATAATTGAGGGAAAAAAAAAATCGGTTTGTTTCTCTCTCTAGGATATGCCTGGACCCACTGGTTACCCACCATTATATCCGAGATTCCTCACGACGTTGTTAAAAGGTGGTGAGATGTCCAAAAGAGGGGTAGAGATGCTTGGTGAAATGTTGGAGGAACAAACCTGAAGATGCGAAAGTCATTATACATGCAAGGTCCCAAAACCGAGCAACCAGTTTTTCTACTAATTTTACTGAGGTACTCCTTGTTTCAATTGAATTCATATGTAGAAACAATTGTTCTTCAAAAAAGTTAAAATCAGCGTTTTTTGAGAAGTTATTTGCACACTAAATGTGATAATTTTTCCGGCTAAAACCTAAGAACCAAATAGTATTTTGCTGTTTTTCCTTTTTTCCCCTTTCTAGTAACTTCACAGGCTCCCTAAATCCAATGCTGTTTGTGTTTTTCTTTGCCTGCACGCGCGTCTTTGAGATATTTGCATTACTTTAGATAAATTTGAGATTTACGACCCTTTTTTCATTTTCTCCGTTCTTGCAGTATGATGGATGGTAAACAGCTTCGCCATTCCTTGATAGAAGAAATAGTTTTTAAAAATTTTGAGTGAAAACAACTCTGAGTAAATGTCAAACAGAAGATTACAGAGTGAACTTTGCGACTTGTATCAATTTTCGAAATTTGTGGGATCCAAGGTCTTCGAGTTCAAGTTCCAGGCGAACTTGAAACTTTTGCTCCTGTAATGTAATTTTAAGCAGGTAGTAAGATAAGTGAAGAAAAATAGTTATGTACATGTTTCAAAGTAATCAACTTTTTTTTTTTTTGGCCAGTCGAGCTTCTTATATTTTATTTTCCGTTATTTTGGAAAGGACTCAATACACATGGTCATTATTTGTTTGATATCATTCATATGAAAGCTTGGCCAAGGAAAAAAAAATCAGAGGTAGCCAGAACAGAATTAACATGTTGAAGCCATAATATAAAACTTTTGCTTTCATCATATATTAAATTCTAGGATCAATGGCACTGTGGCGCCGCTTCTGTGAACTCGATTAGGCTAATTTAATCAGTGGTTTGTATAGCAATTATCTCTGATGGTTACATGATGATCTAATAGTTATGAACCCCAATTAAATGGTTCTGTTACGGGATCTTAGCATTTCCTTGTTAATTTATGAAACATTTCTATTTATAATGAGCTTTTTTTCCAAAATTAACGTTTTGGATCAACAAACCTACTCAAATATTTCATTTTTTACCCAACAAGCGAGTTAGGGGTTTCGACGAATCGAACCACTGAACGTCGGCAGTGGCGGAGCTAGAAACAAAATTTAGGTGGGGCGAACCGCAGACAAAACTTTCTAACGACATCGTAACTAAGCACATCAATAGCTAATCTATGACAAATTTAAGCATTGGTTGATGACAGTACCTCTCATTTGAAGATAGGAGTCCATTAATTCAAAAAAGTACCTCTCCCCGTTATTTCCTATTTTCTTTTGAGCTACGCTGCAACGCCGGACGCCGCTGCTCCTTGGCTGAATCGCCGCTGAAGACGACGTCGGAAGGGAGGAAGATAGAGGGGTACTAGTGGTGATTCTCCGGCGGTAGCTGGGGCAGCCGCCCCACCCTGCCGTATGAGCAGCTCCGCCTCTGAACGTCGGTCCACGAACATCCAAATGAACCCATTTAATTACATTGTTACCAAAAGGAAAAGCCTCCAAAAATAGAATTTGGCTTCTGTCCAAACCTAGGCAGTTACTAAAATGTGATCCATCACAAATTGTTCTTCATCACAAAAAA